CCCTCCCGTGTCCCCTCCCTTTGGCCGAGCAGTTGGAGAGGGCGTGAGGGCTGCACCCGCGGGGGCGGGGGCTACCTGACCTGTGCTCTTTGCCCAGCTTCTGGGGACAGCCAGAGGAAAGCGTGGGTGGGCGAGCGGGTGGCTTCCGGCCCTCAGGTCTGCCTCCCTGAACCGGTGTCACCCTAAGGTAAAGCCAGTCAAAACTTTTGTTTTGTATGATCAAAGGGACCCCTAGGCTTCAGCGCTTCGTCTGATGCCTTCCGAGTGTGTGGAGCAGGGTGGAGTGTCTCTGGCGAGGGCACGTGAAACCGAAAGAATCTGGGCTAAAGACCTTCCGGAAGAGGAAATTAGTAATTCCAACCTTTTCTGCTCTAGTCGCCCCCGCCCTGCGCACATATCCTGTAAAACAAAATGTCAATTTGACTTTCAGTTTCATTATTTTAATTTATAATTAAGTTAAATTTTATTTGGAGGATGGGGATTGGTTACTGCTGTAACTGAGCAGTAGCCCCTCCACCTTCCCAAACCCCAAAAATGTCAATCAAAGCTTTGTAAAAACCTATCGGATTTTAGTAATCTACTACTTTACCTTCAAATATTATGTCACTAGTGCCTTACAGCTATACCTAAGTTATTTACTCTTTTAGGACTGGGGGTTGCGATGATGTTTCCTCGGTTTTTTTTTTTTTTCCTTTAATGTTTGTCACAGCCGATGCAAGAGAACACTGTTACCGACGGCCATCTTTGAATTATAACATTTTAGAGTTGGGAAGCATCTTAGCCCAACCCTTTTGTTTTACAAAGCAAAAACTAAGGCCCAGGATTATTTGGCTTGCCTAAGGCTACCGAGTACAGTAGCACGGAGGTTGCCTGGCTCTTTGGCCACCACTGCTGCGCTGTTGCTTCTCATAGCCTCCAAGCATGAAAATTAAATTTTCCATTCAACATTTGTGAAAAGTGTGCTACTTTGTGTCAACGTCTGTTCCATTTTCCGGGTGTTTAACGTGCATGTGAAGCCAGTGCTTGAGATTTTGCCCCTACCGTTTCATTAATAATGAGATGGAAACACTTTAGATTAAAATCTATATGCTCAAACACATAAGCATGTACTCTTGTATTTGCTCAGATGATTTCTTGAAAGATACATAGGAAAAAATGTTAGCAGTAGTTACAGGGAAGAGGGATGGGAGACTTTTTACTTTGCACTTCACAAGTGACCTAATAATGTATGTTTGAATTTCTTACTATAAGTACTAGTTTTATAATTAAAAACAAGCTTTTTTAGTTCACACATGTGTGTACAACATAAGTAAACGCCAGTGGTATATACATAACATTTATATACATATATTTGTTTTTGTTTTTGTTTTTTTGAGCAGGGTCTCACTATGTAGTTGATACTGCCCTGGAACTCACTATGTAGCCCAGGCTGGTCTAAAACTCACAGTGATTCTCCTGCCTCAGCCTCTGGAGTGCTCAGATTATAGGCATTCGCTGCCACGCCCAGCCACTTATATACATATTTACTGTAATTGGTCTATACCATAAAATCTAGTTGGTTTTTGTCAGCTTGGCTGACAGAGCAGGTTTGATTATTGTATGCTTATGTTTCTCTTTTGGTTTTCTCTTGCTCCTTGTTATAAGGTGGCAAAAATGTTAGTAGACTTTACATATTTTTAGAAAATATGCTGAGCTTCTTGATTATCAAATGATGTAGCAAACTAGAACATTCAGAATATCAAATTTGGAAAAATGCAAGAAATCTGAATGACAGAATCTTTGGGGGTAAGAATTACTTCTTAAAGGGCTAGGTATGTAGCTCAGTGTACCTTATATGCAGAAAGCCCTGGGTTTGATCCTCATAAAAGGAAATGAAACCCTGGAAAGATCTCGAGTGATTAGGAGTTCAATTTTCTTGTTTTTACAAATAGATTAATTAAACCGAGCGTGGTGGTGCACACCTGTAATCCCAGCACTCAGGAGGCTGAGGCAGGAGGATCACTGTGAGTTCGAGACTAGTCTGGGCTACATAGTGAATTCCAGGGCAATCTCAACTACATAGCGAGACCCTGTCTCAAAAAAATAGATTAATTAAAATTAAAGATGAAAAATGTATTTGGACATAGTGGTAGATGCTTGTAATCCCAGCATTCTGGGAGGCTGAGGCAATAGGATGGAAAGTTCTAGCATAGGCTGGGCAAATTAGGGACTTTGCCAAACCCTATCTCAAAAAAAAAAAAAAAAGCTGGGGTTGTAGCTCAGTGGTGCAGTGGCTGTGGGTTCAACCCCCATATCCCACCCAAAAAATTGTCCAAAGTTATATATCTGTTATTACAATTTGGATTAGGGTCCAGGTTCTAGTTTAGTGCCTTTTCTGTTATACTTGTAACTGTTGCTTTCCAAGTAGTTAATCATTTTAGCAGGGTAACAAAATAATGCCAACTTAAGGTAAGTAAGGCCTGCCTGTTTTGTAAAGACAAGAATTTCTGTAATTTATGTAACAGTTAAAGAGTGCTTGAAATATATTTTAACATAAATGTAATCTTCCACTTATACTTTGTTGTAAACATTCATTTGTTTAGTGAATCCTCTATTAAATAGCTGGAAACCCCAATATAAAATAAGATCTCACTGCTTCCGTTAGTCTGTTTTTTTATTTGTTTTGCTTCGTTTTTGTAGCACAAGGTCTTGAGTTGGATCCCCGATACCCCCCCAAAAAGACGGGGGGGGCTAGCTATATAGCCCAGGTTAGCCCCTAACTTGTGATCCTTCTGCCTCTGCCTCCCAGATGCTGGGATTACATGCCTATGCCGCCATACCAAGCTTCTTTTGTTTAATTCTAGTAACAGTGTATGTGGGGGGCTATGGTTTGTCAAATAGAAGTTTATTGAGAACCTACTATGTGCCAGGCATTGTGCTTTGTGGTAGGATTCCAAAGATGATCTAGGTAAAATAATGTCTTTGTTATTTTGAGTGTGGGAAATTATCATGATCCGTCAATTCTTAAATGTTATCTCTGTTGGATAATCTAATAATAGTATTATGAAAATTCAGTCTGTTCATACTGTTTAAGGTCATTGTGGGAGTAGCTTTGAGGCGATAGAAACAGTTGTGATAAAATAAAAATAAATTAATAACTTGAATTTTAAAAATACTGCATGGTTGCTTGGCTCTATAGTTCAGGGGCTAGAGCACTGGTTTTATAAAAATACCACATGGTGTGGTAGAAAGTGCTCTGAATTGGATGTATGGGACATGGATGTTTGTCTTGACTCTGTATCCAGTTAGCTGTGGGATTGTGCCTTTCCATGCCTCCTTATTTCTTTTTCTTTTTTGCAATGTGTTTGATGTTTATTCTGTTTAATTCAAAACACAAAAACAGTATTTTGAATATTTTAAGATATGCATATTATAGAAAATTCATGAAATTTGGAATAGGATTAAGAATTAGGATCATTAGGTTGTCTTAATTATTTTCCATTCAGCGTAGGGAATATTTCCTATGTCATAGAGTCTTTCAAAATATAGCTTTTATTTGTCCTACATATTTTTCTGTACCCCAGTTTCTTCATCTCTAAAATAATAGGTTTGGGCAAGCTGATTCAAAAGATTCAAAATCTGTTATTTTTAATTGATTTTTTTTTTGAGACAGGGTGTCTCACTCTATAGTCTAGGCTAGCCTTGCGCTTAATTATGTAGCTCAGGCTGGCCTCAAACTCCTGAGTGCTGGGATTATAGGCACACACCACTACGCCCAGCCTTAGATTTTATTATTTACTTATTTATTTTTTATATTTTATTTTTAAAAGTGCTTTCACATAAGCCAGATCTGGCAGCTCATACCAGTATTCCTAGCTATTCAGGAGGCTGAGGCAGGGGAATCAAGAATTTGAAGCCAACCTAGGCAACATAGGCTTCATCACTATAAAAGATTACTAAGTCTGTAAATACCTCTTTTTTTGAGACAAGGTTTTCGTATGTAGTTCAGACTTGTTTAAAAGTCTCTATGTAGCCCAGGTGATTCTCCTGCCTCAGCCTGTAAGTGCTGGTATTACAGTTGTGCACCAGTGTTCCTTGCTAGTACAGTAAATATCTGAAAGGCAAAAGAAATGTACAAAGAGGGAGGGTGCTGGGCATGGTGGCTATTGCCTATAATCCCAGCACTCCAGAGGCTACAACCAGAGGATTGCCAAGAGTTTGAAGCCGTTTTAGGCTACCTAGTCAGTTCAAGGCTTGCCTGAACTACAAAGTGAGACCATGTCTAAAAAAAGGGGGGGAGGGGAGGGGCAAGAGATCAAGAAGTGATATGTATGTGTTCCAATTCCCAACAATGAATATGTTTATTATATATTGCAAACTTATATACCGATAAAAAAGAAAAAAATAAGTAGAAAAGTGGAGTTACAAACCTTAATAATTTGTGGTTTGTACTTTTATTCATTTTTAAATTTCATGTGCTAAATATTAAATTGTAGGATCAAAGATCAGTGTATTGATGGTGGCCAGCATATACTGTAAGTAGTACATGGTTAAAATTCACCAAATGCCTCTGGGTTGTACAGAGAAATTTATTGGATCAAAAGGAAAAGTTAAAATTTTTAAGACCTTCCAGATGATCCAAAAGAAAGGTCTTTCTATATTCTGAGAAATTAAAGCAGTTGTTGATTATTGAATTTAAAATGAGAATTTGAGGCCAAGTGTATTATAATCTGTTGTGATGTAGTAGTGAATAATGGGTTGTCTTTTGTGTGATTAAAGCATATTTCTGTCTATCTTTCAGGTCTTGACATATATTATTTTTAAATTAGCATATGGTTGTATCTTTATATATGATGCACTTTATGATTTGGTATATAATCTTTGTTAAGTATACATATGGTCCACCGTATCATGATCTGCTCTTGTAATATATTTTCGAGGATATGTGTTATGAAAAGGGAGGTTTACCTCTACAGACTGGGAATTGTTTGAATTTAGGTGGTCAGAGGTCAAACTTAGTGAGTCAGGGCTGATAGCATATTCTTCCTTTCTTTTTTCTTTTTTATGGTACTGGACTTCACACTGAGCTACATTCTCAGCCCTTTTTTTACTTATTTGTGGTACAAGGGATAGAATCCAGAGGCATTGTAATATGGAGGAGCTACGGAGGAGCTACATTCCCAGACCCTCTCTCTCTCTCTCTCTCTCTC